CTGCACTGGAGCTTTCCCTCTCCGGCCAGGTCTCCTGTGCGCCTCTCCCACATGCAAAAGAGGAACTGGAAGTGTCTGGCCCACGCTACAGGGGAGGCTGGGAAAGGTTTTAAAGCAGCCCCAAGCACCCCCTGCAACATTTCACAGCTGCTGGATCCCCCCCCCCCAGGGAACTGGAATAAATTGTTTGGCAGGCTGGATCTGCCTGCAGGCTGGATGTTCTCCACCCCTGCTCTAATACAAGTGTATTAGGGTTAGTCTTTCAAGTGCCACGGGACAACTTGCTGTAAGGGGAACAGAGGCGATGAATGCCAATGCTCCCCCTCTCTTTTCATGTCCTCTTTATTGCACATGTTTTACCACTCCACAAACCTAGGAAATTAAACGCAAAAGATAATGCAATGTTAATGTTGCTCTAGTAAGAATGCAAAGTTGAGGTGCAATCACCATGCTCTGATACAAGGTCAAATGTTCAAATGTGCTTAGAAGACATTTAGGCATAAATTAGAGCTAAATTACAGCACAGAACACTGAGAGCAAGGACTGGTGGCTGCAAACAAACTTTATGGGACCGCAGGAAACTTGGCCACCCCCACGATAAGTAAACATCTGGCATAGCATCTTGCTACAGTTGGGAAAGAGCATGTAGAATGACAAGATCAAACTGTGCAGCATGTCACTTGCACAACTGACCTGTTGTGTGCAGTGATTCTCTAGATAGTGTTTTATATGTGCATAGTGAAGTAATCATGTATTTAAATAGGCAACTCCCACCTACACAAGAAGAGTGGAACTGAAGATCAATCCTACATGCATCTGACGAAGTGGGTCTCTGCCCACAAAAGCTTATGCTCCAAAACATCTGAGAGTCTATAAGGTGCCACAGGACTCCTTAACCCTTTCAGAGATGTCTAAATAAATTGAGATACCTAGAAAAACTTTTTAATTTTCCAAAGCTTCCTGTGACTGCAGTGGGAGTATTTTGGTGCTCAGTATCTCTCAAATTAAGACCTTGTTTAGGTGCCTAATGTGGATTTAGGAACTGTGCAAGTTCAGGAATGGTCTGTTTTCACAAACAGCAACAAAGCAACAGAACAATATCTGACAATATCTTGTAGCTCAAAGGTCACAGGAGAATTGTGCCCATTCACCTTTGGGCTAAGAACAAGCAAAGACAAACCCAGGCTAAACTTTCAAGGAAGTTGCAAATGGCTGAAAAAAGATGAACAAAGACCCTCGTCAGCTGGAGCTCCAGTCCTGCTACCCTGACACTGTGTTATGTAGCAACCAAAAGGGGGAAGAAATTTCAAATGGCCATCTTGGAGTTATTAATCCATACCCCATAAGGTCATGTCTTGTGGACACAGACTTAATACTGGATGTTGCTAAATTACATTAAATGTTTAGAATAAAGTGGTAACGCTTATTACTCCAATACAGTTAATTTGATTAGAATGCCTTGTTATTCACTGCTAGAGATAATCAAGATAATTGCAGCTGTAATGGGCAGATTCCTGCTCGCTTGGCATTCATTTAAGTCCTCACATTACAAAAAGGGCAAGAAAGGTTTCCTATTATTTCAGAGGAGCTTGTGTAAAGCACAGGCACAGTCCAGTATCCCAGGAGGCCTTCCGATTGCTATGGCAACGCATGCCTGAGGAGAGGGCTGGAACAGAACTTTTAGAAGAACTGCCACACTCATCTGAAATCAAGTTAGAGGAACCCAAACATTCTTTCAAAGCACAACTGGTGTGCAACCCAATCTGCCATGCAATACTACGGCACTCTCTAGGACTGCAACCAACGGCATGACGAGCACTAGCAAAGGGCAACATGAGCTCCACAGCTTCGTGTTCTGAAAAGGAACATGGCACACTGGCAGTTTGCGTAACTGCAGTATTATGAGGGTTGATAGTTTCCTACATGCAGCTCGGCCAATGAACTTCAATCTCCTCCTGCTATTCCAGTCCTGGAATCCCGCACATCTCAATTCCCGTGAGCCTCAAGCCTTGTAGCCCCATGGCCACTCCCACCATAGTCCTCCTCCAGAGGTTTCTGGCTGTCTCACACTGCGCAACAGCTTAGTGATCTGGAAACTGGGGGAAAGTACCAAGTTCCTTTTGCCAGGTCCTCTGTTGCCAGGGAAACCGATTTGCTTGAAGATTCTCAGGCTACATCTGTGGTATCTCTCACTTCACAGCTCACACAAGACTGAAAAGAGCTGCAGTCCTAATCTACACTGAGATCTGCTGCTCAGGGCTGTGAAAAACTTTACACCCCAAGCAACATAGCTAGACTGCCCTAGCCCCCAGTATAGACAATCTTTCAAAATGACTTTTAAAATGTTAGTCTTCTTAAGGCTTTGTACTGTCAAAGATGCTGCACATTCAGTTACCTGCTACTAGCTCTCCATAGCTGAAGTTGTCTCATAACTCTCAGGCTGCCTACCCTACAAGTATTAGAGCAGCCCACCCAGTCATGACTAGAGAACTTGTAGTGTGGATGGTTCCTACATGAACAGAGGGGCTTTCCCATCAGTGTATATAATCCACCCCTCTGAGAAGCAGCAGTTAGAACAACAGAAGAACTTCACCCAGCTGCTTCGGTACTGAGGTAACTTCACAAAGGCCTCAGGAGATGGAGTATCCACCATTTTACACCATCCTCAGTGTTAAGCATTTGTAGCCAGTTTCTAATACCAAAGTGTGTGGTTTCAGCTTCCAGCCAGTGGTTCATGTTTCACCTTTCCCCATTATGTTAAATGGCCATTCAGTAGCTGGTATTTCCTCCCTGTTTAGGTACTTACACACTGTATAAGCCACGTCTCCATCTCCTTTGCAGTATGCTAAAGGAGCAGAGATCTGACTTTCCCGGGAAGGCAAGTTCTCCTGGACCTCAAATCAGTTCTGTTTTTTCCTGCACCCCTTCCAATTTTTAATACACTTTTACAGCACACACGCTAGAACCA